CAGAGAGGAAGGGAGAAGAAAGGAGAGATAGAAGCATCATTGATGAGAAAGAATCATAGATCAGCTGTTCCCTGCAGGTCCTCTATTGGGAATTGAGCCCTCAACCCGGGTATGTGCCCTGACCAGGAATCGAACCGTGACCTCCTGGTTCATAGGTCAACATTCAACTACTGAGCCACGCAGGCCAGGTTTATTCACTCTTCTTAAATGTTTGATGCAGTCATTTTCCCCTTTACTCTCAGAAATAACACTGACACCTTCAAACCCTCCTCAATTTCCCATCATGTCAAGTACTTACTTGCATTTGTACCCATCCTTTCTTGCTTCTCCTTAGTACAAGAGGTATCTCCTCTCCTATCTGAACATAGTTATTTCACTTGTGCTCCAGATCCTTTTGTCCCCTCAGGGACCAATTTTCTTCCATCCTCAATATTTTACTTGCTCTTGACACCTTCTTATCAGCATTGGAACAGGCTAAAATTTTACTTAGAAACAAAAATTCCCTCAAGCCCCCACCCCCATATCCTCCTCCAGCTTCTAGCTTCTGCCTTTCCTTTTATAGCTAAACTAGAGGCCCAGTGCATGAAATTCGTGCATGGGGGTGGGGGGCAGGGTCCCTCAGCCCAACCTGCACCCTCTCCAATCAGGGACACCTCAGGGTATGTCCGACTGCCAGTTTAGGCAGGATCAGGCCTAAACTGGAAGTTGGACATCCCTCTTGCAATCCGGGACTGCTGGCTCCTAACCGCTCACCTGCCTGCCTGCCTGATCACCTCTAACCACTCTGCCTTCCTGCCTGATCACCCCTAACCACTCTGCCTTCCTGCCTGACCACCCCTAACCACTCTGCCTTCCTGCCTGATCACCCCTAACCACTCTGCCTTCCTGCCTGATCACCCCTAACCACTCTGCCTGCCTGCCTGATTGCCCCTAACTGCCTCTGCCTGCCTGGCCACCTCTAACCATTCTTCCCTGCTTGCCTGATTGCCCCTAACCACCTCTGCCTCGGCCCCCATCACCGTGGCTTTGTCCGGAAGGATGTCTGGAAGATATCCAGTCTATTTGGTCTAATTAGCATATTACCCATTTATTAGTATAGATAAAGTTGAAATTAGTGTCTGTCTTTACTTCCTCACTTTTTATTCTCTCCTCAACAACTCTAATTGGTTTATGCTATCTCTAGAGGCAGTATTTGTTGCTGTTAATCTCTTCTCCTCCTTAGACCTCCTGGTTTTCCCTCAGACCTCTGAATGTCTCCCTTAGACAGCCTATCTGAAAAGTACTGCTGTCCCAATGAATCTCCTTAAGCAGGCTGGCTTGATTGAGGTTGAATGAGTCACTGAAGTTCTAAAGAAGGCAAAAGAATGAGTTCATGATACTCTCCAGAGTCAAAAGAGAAGTCTGGCCAGATGACAAGGGTCATACACAGAATGGCATGACCGTAGTGAGCTTCACTGTCCAGATCCTGGCCTTTAGCCTTGTGGGGTGCAAGGGTGGGGAACCTTTTTTCTGCCAGTGGCCATTTGGATATTTATAACATCATTTGCGGGCCATACAAAATTATCTACTTAAAAAATTAGCCTGCTATATTTGGTCAAACATTTCATTAACTCATCCCTAATGCCTTGGCAGGGCCAGACCAATGATTTCCTGGGCCATATATTCTTTCAAGGACAAGGAAAAATGTCTAAACTGATAGGAAATAGCTGTACAAAACCCCCAAACACCTTTCATTTATAAAGAATGTCTAAACTGATAGGAAATAGCTGTACAAAACCCCCAAACACCTTTCATTTATAAAGAAACATAATTTTCAAGTATATTCTCTCCATATAGGAAAATAACATGGGAAGTAAAACTATCACAAAGTTGCTCCTGTTGGATTTGAGTCCATCAAGGGGTTCTATGCATTAATCCTAAAGACTTGGGAGAGAGGTGCCCTTGCTCATCTATGTTAGATTAGGGAGAAAGATGACTGCTGTTTAAATACTTAACTGGTCTTCTGTTCAGCATTCACTCTCTAACATAATATCGGGATATTATTTTTTAAGATTATAAGTACACCAGTTCCCATGTTCATTTTATCTGTTGACTATTTTCTAATCTCTGGGGAAGCTCTTCTCTCTTGGGGAAGGCTATTCAAATGCTCTAAAGCAAAGTTCCCCCAAAGCCATTGATCAATTTCATAAAGAGTATTTCTGGTATCAAATAAAAACATTACTTATTTTTGTTTCTAGAGAAAAAAAACTGCCATGAGAGAATAAATATGTAACTTCCATATCTATCCAAACTGGGACAGAAAAAAAACTAAAATAGTACAGTTTTACTTCTCTACTCCAGTATTCACTGTATTTGTAGATTAAAACGGAGAGAAAAGCCCTAACAGCCCAGGCTTCACTTAATAGATCCTAGAAAAATGTACACATTGACCTTCACTACAACTGAGAGCTACTCTCCACTAGAAAAAATTCTGTTTCTTGAAATCCAAAATGTCACTTAAGAATACCATTTAATCACAATGTTCACCACAGAAAATCAGTAATTCATTCTTTGAATGACATATAGGTGAAGTTTACAAAAGGGAGAAGTGTGATGCACCTGTGTCTGAGAGCAATGAATCAGAAATGATCCCCTTCGAACAAAATGTGCAATTATGTTTGGGTCCAGAATTTCAATTTAAGTTCTTGTCTAGATTTCTTTGTCACCATTAATTATTACTCAATTCTTTATAGGATGGTTATCATTTAATTCTCAGTGGTTCTCTCATGTCACTCACTTGATGGACGAGGTCATAGAAGGTACAGATAAATATCTGGTGTTAAAGCATTAGACGTCAAATAGGTCATGTTCCACACACAGACAGGCACTGGATTTGGTAGAGTTCTGTGTTGATAACGCATTCGATGAACCTTCTAGAAGACCGTGGACATTCAGTTTTCCTTTCAAGTGGTTTAATATTAGTATGTTACCCACCAGGTTGTTAATCAAAGTGCTGGAGTTAACTACAGTAACGGGTTCATATGATTAACAAATATATTTGGCTATTAAGGAGACAGCATAACATGGTGGTGATTTTATGGGCTTTCTAGAACGTAACACACGCCTTTGAGTCCAGCTCTGACATTGTGAGACCTTGGGCAAGATAATAATATCTCCACACATATGTAATACCTTAATCAATAAAGAAAAAATAAAATAATAAAAAAGATATTAATATCTCCAAGCTTCAATTTTTTTCATGTGAAAATGGTGTTAATATTACCTCTTAAAAATAACTGTGAGGGCTAAAAGAGGTAATGTATGAAGCGTGCTTGTCATGACACCTGGCATAAAATAAGTGCCTATAATGATGATGATATATACGGCTTTCCAAGTCCACTGATGCTCTGACTTCCTGAAATCAGTTATATCATCAATCTAAAACAGTATAGATACTACATAGGATTTATTTCTCCATAATGGTATATTTCAAAAATAATATTCCAATGAAGCCATTTCTGGAATATAGTTTATAGGACTTTTGATGATAGCCTTAGTCTACCAAGTGGGACTTTCCCAGGTGTCTAGTACCTCACCATGATGTCAAGTTTTGTGTGTGTGTGTGTGTGTGTTTTAAGTACTTTTTTGAACATAACTGCTAGGGGGAGAGATACTGATGGTGTTATATCATATTCACACATCTTGTCTTAAGACAGTTCAGAATGCCACACTAGTCTCTATATTAAGCTAACCTTTCTCTAAACCACAAGCCATGAGAATTGGAGGAGGTGACATTTGACTTCACTACCTGTAAATGACCTTTCTTTGATTCGTCCCCCTCTGCCCCACCGCAGCCCCCTCTCAGAGTTGTCAAGCAGGAAATGGTTCTCCATTTCTATCCCTGTGTCGCTTCTAATTCCCTAGGTTGCTGCTTTCTGTTTGTAATGCTTCCTTCTATTTTTCTCAGTCTATACAGAATTGTTTAAACATCTGATCAGACTCTGCTGTACTGTGAAAGGATTTCGGTTTACAAAGAATCAAGGCTTCTTACAAACACTGGACATGTAATTCCATGAGTTTTTCACGGGATTAAAAAAAATAGGATCATACTCCTACTGGCACTAGCTTATATCCCAAATATTCTCCTTGAGATGCAACTAGCCCTCACCTGGCTTTAGACTATGGTTATCTCCGGCAAAGTCCAACAGTCGGCATTACAGATTTTTAGGCTAGTCTGCCCTATTTCCACCTCCCAATTCCAAAGTCAAATAACCATTTTTGGTTTTCCTTCTTTTTCTCATGAGTGTTATTATATTGGATCTAAATTAACGCACTTTAGACAGTGTATTCTCCTTTTACTGTTAGCTTTTTTCTTCCTTGTACTAACACTTTCTTGGAGGTTTCAATAACCGTATTACTTTTTTTTTTGCATTTAATGATTTTAGGGTTTCTAAGAATGTTCTTCCCAATGCCTTTTAGAGTTGTTTTGTGAGCATCAACTGTCTGAACTTGACCCAGCTCAAAGTTCTTTCATTTCTGCAATTAATGGAACTCATTTCCTCAAATGCTGAACTACATCTACATTTTATTTTATTTTTTTAATTTTTTTACATCTACATTTTAAAGCAACTATGGCAGCTTTTAGTGACATCTTTAAAAATGTGTGCTTTCCTTTTTATTCAGAAACCTCCCTAGTCTTCACCCCCTTGGTCTAAGTTTAACTCCCACAACTTAGAATTCTCATTTGTGATCGAGATAGCCTATCATCTGTTCTACATCAATACCAAAACGTGTTCTCCAGAAGAAATCTGATATTATCCTATCAAAGTGTGAATTTAAGTCATAATGTTACCTTTTCTAGGTACAAGAGCCTTATCTCGAATTGCAAAGTGACACTCTTCAGGGCTGCTAAAAGAAACGATTGTTCAAGATGGAGAGAAAGAGAAGACCCTTACCAGGTACAACTCGCATGCCACCCAGACAGACCCCAGACGGTAAAATGTATCAGGAAGGCAAAGTTGTGAGGTATTAAGATGCTTTATTTATGAACTGGATGTGGTATCTTAGAATGTTTTCTTTGAAACTATGTTTCCCATTCGGGCTTCCTTGCTTCTTCACAGTGCCGATCTAGGTCGACAGGAGAAAGTGAGCCCATTGTTCCACATCTCACTTAAGAGAACACCACTTCAAAGCGAAGATCACCACCACCTGACAAAAATAAAACACGTTATCAGTTTTAAAGCATTGTGCCTGTGCTGATCTCAACTTTTCCAGGGATTCAAGTTATTTTAGGGCACCTACTCTGAATGACTATGTTCCTATAGCTAGAACAATAGAACCATCTAAAGAAAACTTCAATATATAATCAATTTCCAAATTTTCCCCTTAATATTAGCAAAGTACTGTAATGTTTCGAATTGCACCCTCCTACCCTCTGCTAAAAACAAAACCCAAACTTTAAAAACAGTTAATTCCTTGAACAAAGAAAAATGCACTTTTATCCAAATTCCCTTAAAGGGTACTAGGGCTTTTAAATACAAAACAGATAAAATAAACCATCCAAAGAAAACAAAAGTAATACTCCATAATGTCCCTTTTAGCTACACTACCTTTAAAAATTTTTGTTTTGCTAATTGCACTTAGTGGTTATAGAATTACATCTGCTGCATTTCTTGATGGTCAACCTCGTTCATGAGTAATCAGGTATTAACATGAAATAATTTATTTACAAAACAGAGGGGACACAGATGTACTTGACCAAATTATATTTGATATACAGTTTTAATCACTTTTACTATTTATACTTGTAAGTTTTATATCTACCAATTTATATCACACTCTTCACATGAACCATAAGCCAGAGCTAAGTATACTGTATTTATAACATGATTTAGGATCTAAGATTTGAACAAGTTCATTTTTAAAAATATTTTTTATTGATTTTTAGAGGAAGAGAGGAAGGGAGAGGGAGAAACATCGATATGAGAGCGAAACTACTTCCTGCATGCCCCCTACCAGGATTGAGCTGCAACCCAGGTATGTACCCTGACCAGGAATTGAACCAGCAAACTTTTGATGCACTAGACAATCACCAACTGAGCCACATTGTCCAGTGACCACATTATTGATGGGATAAGAATGTATCTTCCATATCTATGCATTTTGTCCCTTGAAAACAGTTTGACACATGGGAACTAGGTATGTGATTAGCTCTATATTCATCCATTCAGCAAATGTTTTTTGAGTAACAACTCAGGCCAAACATTTTGCTAGTTCTAAGAAAACAGTTGCTAGCAGGATATACATAATCCCTGCCCTTAAAAAGATGACATTATAGTGAATAAAATATTTACAAATTGTATAGTGAAGGAGATGTGCAAGGCGCTACTATATGAGTTGGAGCTGGGAAGGCATGGTTTCAGCGGAATGGGGCAGACAGGATCAGGAAGAACCCGCTGTGTGAAGTGAGGTGGGGGCCAGGTATGTTTTCTCCCCACCTCCTCACCCCCATCCCCAAAGTGAAAATTGAACTATCCAACTGGATACAATGGGCGAATAGGATGGTACTGTACTTCCCTGGTAGTGCATTTTTATGCACAGGCTAGCTATACGTGTACTTTAAAAATGTGTGCAGTGTAGTCAGGGTAAAAAGTGAAAATATGCTTTCTAACCACCATAAAAATACTGTTGAGAAAAACTGTGAACAAAGTGAATTACTGCAGTTTATAAAAGGTTCCTTCCCGCAAGTGGAACCCTGGGTCTCAGAGCCAGGACTATTCAACTGCAGAGGATGAAAGAGAACCCTTAGCTGTAGTATGTAAACATAATCTTGACTTCTTTGGGATACACTGGCTATGCCAGGATCTGCAAATTAGAAAGGAACATAGGATGTTAAAAAGAGGAGCAAGTTTCCACAAATGGTCTAATTCTCACAAGTGATCATTTACCGTCCTAAACTCTGGGAGCTAATACACCCTCCCCCCAAACCCCGCCCCCAATTCCTGGGGAGACAGAGTCACCAAATGTAAAATGTCGGAATGCTTAGCCACTAGAGGGAGAGAGTGTGCCTCTGGTGATTAGGAAGTCAAAGAAAGCAACTCCTGAAAAGGATAGTCTTTCAAGGGAGCTAAATTAAGCTCTAATCAGCCAGGGGGCAAGGACTTTATCAACTGTGGTAACTCTGAGTAACTTTAGGATAATTCCTTAAAACTTCATATTGGTTCCTCTTCTATTAAAGAATTAAAATGCTTAAACTAGCCAGACATTTCATTTTCAGTTTTAAGTCATCTTTCCTAAGGACCTCCATAACTTTGTAGATACTTAAACACTTAGGCTGAGTTTTTAGGAGGGATTTATGGCAACTTAGAGAAGTTATGCTACCATTTATATACTGGGAACCAACATTCCACTTTTCTAAGATAATTTAAGGTTAAAATATTTGCTATCTATTGGGATGATTAAAATGATTTGTGGAATTCTGTTGTCTTTCCTAAAATATGTCATCAAGAAAATTACTTTTATTTACCTAATTGACAGGTTAAAAAAACAACAACATATAACTCATCAGAACTGCAATTTCTCTTAAAATTGTCCTACTAAAGTCATTGGTAGCCTGAGTCCAAATGATTTGCTCTCCAATGAATGTTCATCTTGTTTTCAGTATGGCACCAACTATAATTTTTCCTAATTCAGTAACGAGCCTACTGGTTACACTTGTCTAATAAACTTTTAAAAAGTAATTCATTATAAAATGTACATTTAGTATTAGACAAGTTATACACAGTATCCATTACATAGTGTGCATCAACGTGAATGAATTCCTCCATCACAAAATCTAAAGGAAAAGACATTATCCAAAATTTCCCAGACATACAGAGTAGTGCTTAAGATATAGTTAATAGTTAATGATTTTATTTTCAATGTGTCATTTTCTATCCTCAGCAGAAAAAAAAAAAAAAGCAACTCAGCAACTATTTCTGGGATTCTTGGAAGGAGGAGCTCGGTGCCCGCGCCTCCTCTTTCAGCATTGATTTTCCTCACAACCTGTGACATGGTTTCTCAGAAACGCTGTTGGGTAGTCCTACTAATTCCGTGTGTTTTTCCAAACTTAAGCCACCCAGACTCCACAGTTCAGTATTTTCAGGTCCTTTCATTTTCCTTTTCCCTTTCATTACAGAAGTCTCTATTCCCTCTTTTTGCAAATGTGGTCAAGGAAAAAAAAAAAAAAAGCCAAATGCTACTATGTGTAGCAAGAGCACACATTGAACTTGATCTATTTCAGTTGTTCCCAAACCAATTTTAAAAAGCTGTGCGATAACGAATGGTGGCTACTGATGGGCAGCACTGGGCTCTAACAACTTTCTGGACCCTCACGCGTCCCTGGGACTGGGGTGGATGTGGCAGCCGCCCGGGGACGAAGACGCCAGCAAACGCTCTAATTTTAAAACTTGCCCCGGGAAGCACTTCCAAAATAGTAAGCGCTGAGCTGCATCTCAGACCCGACTTTCCCTTCCCCTCCGCTCCCGAGGACCCCCGCATCCCGGTCCGCGCCCCGGTCCGGCGGTGCCGTTCACCGAAGAGCGCGCCGCGGAGTTTATTGCGAAGCCCAAGTGGGTGGGTCCACG